CTTATATAATCTTTTACATATATGTATGTATATTTATAACTACAACTTACAACTTTCTTTCAAGTACATTTGACACTTTTTTAAATCTTTAGTGAATTCAACTTATATAATACCTACATACAATATATTAACATATATATATATATTTTTGCATTTTTAATCATTTCTGTTTTTCATGTCTTTATTTGAGCATTTTTTCATTTTTTCTTATACTTTTCTGGTACAAAAAACAACAACAATTAACTAGGAAATAAAACATTTATAAAATTCCAAAATAACAAAAAACAAAAAAATACATGTTTCAGAATAATAAATTATTATTAAAAACAGAAATAAAATATATATATGTACATATGTATGTGTCAGCAAACTTTCTACAAACGATTGCGCTTATGTGAGCGTGAGTAAGCGAAAATAAAGGACATAAAGAAATCATAACATATACATACATACATATAAACTTTTAATAACTGTGTATTTTTTACGTGAGTTTTTACTCCTTATTCTTTATTGTTATATTTTCCATTTTTTGTCTCATTTTTTTGTGAATTTTGTAAACCGTTATTTAAATTTTTTTCCACTACATTTTACACTCTTGTTCATGATATTATTTTATTCTCTAACAACAATGGATATGTCTATCATGTTTAATATATTCGTATGCTTACTAGTGGCCTAGTATTTTTTGTATTTTTTAAGAATTTATAGTATACATTTGCACAGTGCTTCAAAATTTTGTACGACCTATCACACAATGAAAGTATAGTGAAAGAAAAAAATAGTCTTAAATTATAATTTCGCCGATTTCTGGTGTGTAATAAGGGTGTAGTCTTGCTTCTCTACGCTACTGAACTAAACTCTTGCGTCTCCGTCGCAAACCCTAGGAACGTGTGCAACTCCCGCACAAGTTGCGGTAGCTAGCACGGATAGAGCCAGGGGGTTAATATTAAAAGAGAAGGAGTTTCAGCTTAAGAGCTAAGTCTAATCTCAGCGTTTGGTCACCAAAGGTACAGCTGATATCAGGCGGCATTCTTGATGCATGACCCTAATTAAGTACATGTGCTCCAACTCACCTGGCGAGAGGGTTCATTGGATTTGAAATCCGGCACGTAGAAACTGGCTCCACTGAAAAATTTACAAAATCTGGTATGAGAACTTCCAATTACGATAACGAACATTGCAAACGTAATATAATACCCGCTTTGTAACCGCTGAACCTTTTTCGGCTAAGCTCCTTCTACAATGTGGAGTGCATATCTTGACACGTTGCCAAGAAGTGGGGTGTACCTACAGTCAATTCTAAGCCGCCTCCGATCGCCCGTTGGATTTTAATGAGAAACTTGTTAAAGACTATGATTTAAGAGTTTGCACTTGGAATGCCCAGTAACTTAATTGGGAATGCTCCACTGGACTGCTAGTTGATGTCCGCGCTAGAAGTAAGGCTGACGTTTTAGCCATCGGTAGGAAATACAAAAGACGGAAGAAGGAGGGAAGAAGATTAGTGATCTGTGGAAGTGATCTATACACCGATACCCAGATTGTATTAAATTTATGAAGGGAACCCTTCTCCAGCCTGCAGAATGGCAGTGAAATTAAATCACCCGGAGATGATGAACCCGAAATCCGAATCGATGATGATGGAACAGACGTTCTATGACCTGACCATGAAGAAGTTCGAATAGCAATCGTCCGGCCTACCGGCAGAACTATTCAAACACGGCGGGGAAGAGCTGTCAAGGTACATGCATCAGCTACTTTGCAGAATATGGTCGGACGAAAGCATGCCCGACGATTGGAATTTAAGTGTGCTCAGCCCAATCCATAAAAAAGGGGACCCCATAGTCTGCGCCAATTATCGTAGGATAAGCCTCTTTAATCGTCTATAAGATCCTGTCGAGCGTATTGTGTGAAAGACTGAAGTCTACCGTCAACAAACCGATTGGACTTTATCAGTGTAGCTTCACACCTGGTAAGTCAACCATTGACCAGATGTTCACCATGCGACAAATCTTGGAAAAGATCGACACCCACATCCTCTTCGTCGATTTTAAAGCCGCCTTCGAATGTCCGAATAGGAGCTGCCTCTATGCCGCTATGTCTGAATTTGGTATCCCCGCAAAACTTATACAGCTGTGTAAGCTGACGGTAGACAACACCAGAAGCGCAGTCAGAATTGGGAAAGTCCTCACCGAGGCGTTCGATATCAAACGACGTTTCAGACAGGGTGACTCCTTGTCGTGTGATTTTTTCGATTTGATGCTGGAGAGAATAATAAGAGCTATAGAGCTGAATAGAGAGGGTACAATATTCTATAAGAGAGTACAACTACTGGCATATGCCGATGACATTGGCACTATCTCCTGTCATCAAACAAAGAGTCTTCGCATTCGCGACTATCCTACGTAACTGTTGTAAGTCATAACTTTGAAGTCGTAGATAATTTCGTATGTATAGCATTAGTGCCGTCTTGCTGGGAACAAGGTAAGGGATCGGTGATCATCCCGTTGTTTCCCATTCAGCGAACGTGCGACGCGTTTGATTTTCGTTCGATTTCAATTCTTCCACGAGTTGAATTTTGTAAGCCCGCAAACCAAGATCACTCCACAAAATCTGTTATAAAGTGAGTGAACACAACTCCCATTGTTGCATTGTTGAGTTTTGCCGGAGTAAGTCTGATCATTATGAAATGGCAAATCAGACTGTGTGTTAGTCAGGTAACAGCTGTCAAAACTGTAACTCCGAAAAAAGTATTGCCGCATTGAAACTACATGTCTGAAAAGAACACCCTTTTATATCGTTTTCTTTTTAAAAAACAACTATCACGACCTTCTGCATAGCAAAAACATAAACTAAAGATAATGTTTAAATATAAAATATAAGGTTGTCAAATATCTCCCTTCCGCTTTTTTGCTCTTCATTCAATGCTTTATAAAAAGTGTTACAGTGATTGGATTTAGTTGAAATATGCGACGTTTTGTTCGATGATCTGTTTCCATCTAGACGGCAACTTCATAATACCTTCCTCGTAGAAGCCCCTTCTGAGTTCAACTTCACACCACCAAGGGCATTCGCCATGGACAGGAACAGGTGGTAGTCACTTGGTGCTACATCCGGGCTATATGGTGGATGCGATAAAACCTCCCATCCGAGCTTCCGTAGCTTCTGACGAGTCATCAACGAAGTATGTGGTCTGGTGGAACACTACACCCTTCCAGTTGGCCAATTCTGGACGCTTCTGGTCGATAGCCTGCTTCAAGCGGTCCAGTTGTTCGCAGTAGATGGTAGAATTAAGCGTCTGGCCATATGGGAGCAGCTCATAGTGGATGATTCTCTTTCAATCCCACCAAACACACAGCAAAACCTTCCTGGCCGTCAATCCCGGCTTGGCCACTGTTTGGGACGATTCACCGGCCTTCAACCACAACCGTTTTCCCTTGAAATTGTCGTATGTGATCCATTTTTCGTCGCCAGTCACCATCCGTTTCAAGAATGGGTCGAGTTCGTTCCGTTTCAGCAGCATATCGCAGGCGTTGATTCGGTCCAGAATGTTTTTTTGCGTCAAATTATGCGGCACCCAAACATCAAACTTTTCTTTGTATCCAGCCTTCTGCAGATGGTTCAAAGTGGTTTGGTGACTAACTCCCATCTCCTGGGCGATGTCACGAGATGCCATATGCCGGTCTAACTCGATGTATTCCATGATTTGATCGGTATTTGTCGTCCATGGTGTCGTTTTCACCGGCTCTGAATCGTCGAAACCATTCCTCTGCGGTTCGAAGTGATAGAGTACCATCCCCCAAAACACCATTAATCACACGGAACGTTTCTCTAGCGGATTTGCCTTTAACGAACGCAATATCCAAACTAATCATGCATAGCGTTGTTTTGTAGGTTATGTCAAGACCTTTCAAATTATGTATAGCGTTGCCAGATACGAGCTCTGTAGCGCTTTGTACATAGCCGCGAAATTCAAAAGACAAAAAAGCGGAAGGGAGATATTTGACAACCTTATATTTGCCGCAAAAGTGAGGAAAATGTTTTCGCAGCTGACATTTAACTTCTCAAAATCACTGCCTTTCAACTAACTTTTGCGAAATTAACTTGATTAATTATCTAGCACTTTTAGTTAGATATTTACATTTGGAAAATTAGACTAAGGTTGAGGGCGTAATTTGTTGTTAATATTATTATTTACACATCAATTGTCTACTATTTTATTTATTATTTGTTTTTTTTTTTCTACGCAGGAATTTATTTAGTTAATTTTGTTTAATCTTCAAGGCTTTATCAATTCTGTGGGATTGTCGCGATATTTTTGTAGCTTTGAACTGCTGTCTCTTATTCTCATAAACATACACTTAACCAATTAAGTTTAATTTTTATATTAATTTAATTATACTACGATGTGTTTGCTTGTTTTTTTTTTTTGTTTTTTGTCTCAAATGCAATTGAACATTTTACATCTATAGATTTGAGTTAATTTTATAATTGCATTGGTTTTTTATTACTTTTTTCATTTCATCATTTTTTGCTACTATTCCCTTTGATCTTCCTACCCGAAACACTTATTTGCTGAGCACTTAAGTTTTACATTGTGGTTTACGTACATACATATTTGTATTTGTATTTCATAGTTAATCTCTTACTCTATATAGTAACAAACTACACATTTATTTACTCACACTTACACATGTATGCATTTTGTATATTTCATATTAATATTACTAATACAATATTATTGTTAATTTTTCGAGCTCCTTTGGTTGCTATTTTTATTTTGGCTGAGTTTTTGGGTTATTCGCGTTCGTTTATCGCACGCGTAGTTGCTTTTATATGTACGAGTATATGTAACGATATTTTTTTTTATTGTTTTCCATTTATTTCTATCAATAATAATAAATGTTGACCAACACGCCTTCCTTAGACTGTCTGTTCTCTTTTAGCTTTCTATATATATATATATGTGTGTGTGTTATGTTATTAACAAGATTTTTTTCTTTTTAATTTTGGTATAACGGCTGCAGCTGATTCGATGACGATGTAGCGTACTGACGTGTACGTATTATGTGCATGTGTATTTCGGAGGAGGCGGTCGAATTGATGTACGGCGGTAGGTCAGCGCCCGCGCTGACACGACAATTTATGAGGTCGTATGGACAGCAGGACTGTAAGAGTAAAGAGACAATATATTATAGCGGTAAAGTGACATAATGTGTGGTGGAAGTTTAGAAATAAATGGGGTTGGTTGTACGGCACACAAATTCATACGAGCATACAGTGAGCGACAATTGAAAGTTTACTTGTAAAGTGTAAAAAACGGTATGAAAAATATATGTATGATATATATGTTTGCAATTTAATGCTTCTCACGGTGATAGGAAAATGTTTAAATTAAAGAAAAAATCATACAATGGGAAGTGCAGAAGGGTAGGGAATCTTTAAAATTAAGCGGAGAAAAATCAAAAAGAAAAGAACTGCGTTCTACACTTTCTTATTTGGTGGATTGATTTGAATAAATTTGATTATAAATTAAGCAGGCGTACTGTATATGATATATATATATAGCACGTATCGAGAAGTCATTTTGGCCTTCAGAAATAAATGCACTGCTGATATCACAAATAGAGAACAATTCCCAAACACCAATATCTGCTACATCTACAAACTCATTGAGAGAAGAGAAATCCCCATTGTAGACTTCTTCTTTAGGCTTTTTAAACATTTTCTGGTTTCGAAAGTACAGAGCTTCATTTTGACATCTATCAAACTAAACTGTCAAACAAAATACGAATGGTATCGAAAAGCGTAGGAGGCAGAAAAAGAAAATATTTTTGCTTTTAATTTGGCGGTCTTAAAGCTCCAAATATCTAATCTAACGAAATATGTTTTATTTTAATTAAAAAACCAGACATTTATGAGAATGGAAAGCTTAACAGTCGCGAGTTAAAGCTATTTAACCTACAACAAAAATGGCGATTTAAACATGAATACTTATCGAGGAGATTGTGGTGCAAATAATCATCAAACTACTCAAGAAATTGGCAAAACTTCAAGTAAATTTGAAGAGGCTGAGGTGTAGTCGAAGTTACGAGTGTGTATATTTCTCGATTTTGTCAAGAGTTGGGACTTTCTTTCAGCACATTATGGCGTACATTGCAATTGGACTGACATCTATATCCAAATAGGGTCCAGCTCATACAGCAGCTGAAGCCTGTTTACCATTCACAATGGCATACAAACCGTAATCGGGTGCTTCAACAACAAGCAGTGGCCGGCGATTTTCCGAAAAAACATATTTTTCAGCGCCTTTGCCACATTTCGAGCTCGGAGGATATGTAAATAAAATGAATTTTCGGATCTGAAGCGTCAGGTATCCTCGGTGAGAGGTGATTCTATTTTTTTTTTTTTTCAGAAATTTTCTTTAATGCTTTACCAACTTATTGGAATTCTCCTCCAACACCATCTGATATACACTGCGCGTCTTCAGGGTGTCGCCCCTACGATAACTAAAATATTTTCAGTTCATTTCGTTGAAAAAAGTACAATTTAATAATTTTATTTTTTAATTTAATTATTTTGAATTAAATTAATAATGGATCGCCTCTCCCTTTATAACAAGAACTTAAAAAACTCGGTTGGGGAGAGAAGCGAGTTTATTACCGTGGAACATCTTCCCAGAAAATTTTCCATTATAATTAGTTCTGGGGAGTAGCACTCCCGAGGTTTTATATTTTCATTGTCTATCTGAAAGTGCCATTTCAGATTCCAAAATCATTTCTAAAACAACGGGGTAACAGTTTTTAAAACACAATGATATTTTTTCACCTTTATTTTTGACTTTAAAAACTAGAATCCGCAGGTACACAATTGAATATGGTTTCCCTAACATAACATCTCCCACCCAACTGAGTGAGCCGTCCAAAAGTAGTACTTACTATATCCATCTGACCTTTCTAGAGAAGTTGCAACGATATTCATGAAAACAAAAAACAATATTGCGCAAAGAATTCTGCCCTGAGACACCTTAAAAAAAATTATTGGTAAATATGATCTGATACTGGCCGTTTTAAAGAGGAAATAAGGTGTTTCAATATATATATTAATTAATCACTAAAGGTAATTACTCTTCCTCGTAAGTCCAATATTAAATAATGATGATTTATTCAAGTCAGCATTGACTAAGACAATTTCCTATTTTTCTTATTATTTGCAACTAATCACAAACATTTTGGGCATACCATATTCTGGAGCGGTTGCCTACTTGTTTGCATAATTTTGAACAGAAAGGAACTATTCTAAATATAAAAAAAAACGTTGGACGACGTAATCAATTAAATGGAAAGGACCTCTGTTCACCTAAACTAAGGAAATAAAAAAAAACTTATGTCACAGACGACATAACCGGAATTTCACATCATTTTTCATACAACATATATAATGATTTTTTTTTGCGCTTTAACTTTCTTTTGTCCCTCAGTGTATGCACGTTCATTCGGGTGAATATTTTAACAGAACAAGCAACACCCAAATGGTGTTATTCATACAAAAACATATATAGGGTTATCCATTTTCCGGTTTCGAAAGTAAATGTAAAGAAAAATTCAATATAAAGCTTGATCCTTGACATTATATGTAGAACAATACATGATTCCCCTCTTCGATCCGTTTAAGGTAATTTTTGACCACTTTATGTCACATATTGGGCGGTGTCTTAGCCATAACTTGACGAATGTTAGTTTTCAAGTACTCAAGGTTTAAAGATTTATATTTACATATTTTACCTCTACATAAGTCTGATAGTAAGTCTTTTGCAGGGAATCATGTTCTATCTCCCAAAAATTTCGAAACTTTTAAGAGAGTTCAACTCCAGACCCAGATATGATCCTTACATGCTTTCTGAAAATTTATCAAAAAAATTACTTTTTTACCTTTAACTCAACTTATTAACTCCTTCCTCAAACAAGGTGTGTTCCCTACAATATGGAAGCAGTCTTTTATTACATAAGAGTGGGCATAGGTCTAATATGGAGAATTTTATTGATATTAAAAAAATATCCGCTATACTAAAGCCTACTAGTCAAATACTGTATTCAATCCATAACATGGATTTTGCAAAGAAAAATCAACACTTGAATTTGTGTCACATATCTCTAAAGCCCTTGGAGGTAATAAGCAACACTAATGTTAGCTAAACCGACTTCAGTAAAACATTCGATATTGTAATCACACTATTCTCATCATCATGGGCTTTTAGCCAAGATTTCTCCAATGGGTTCCCTCGTATCTCTGAAACAGAACACAACGTGTAACATTTAAAAATACTTTATCATAATTAATTAATGTCTCGCCAGGAGTTTCTCAATAGCCTAGAACAAATGTACAACTTCACTGATTTGCGGGTTATGATGGACCATAAGCTCAAATTCCTTCTTCAAATCAATACCACAATCTTAAGAACCTGCTTGAAGTCACCACCCATGTCAGTAATGGTTTCATAAATGGCTTAATTATTCAGCAAAGCTTTTGGCAAGGTCCTCTAGTTCACTTTAAACTCGATCATTTCTATGAACTGTTTGCCCCTAAGTTTAAATAAGTCTAAAGATATGTCTTTCTTCAGAAAATCTTTCGAATCCTTTGCCTATATAATACAATACATAATCACAATGCTGAAAAAGTTACTGACTTCATCAATTAAGGTGTCATAATGGACCCTAAGCTGGTTATTAGAAATCATATAAATGCCTGTGCTAATAAGCAAAAGGCGTTTTTGCTTCCAGGACCCTCTTTTTCACTAGATTAATAAGAGGTATTATCAATGAGCTACATACCTACTTTGCCACCTTGACTTTACCATCACTTCCAGATTTTTTAGACACTTTAGTGCCTTTCACTGTGTTCCTGAAGAACAAATTTTGAAATACACGATTCCTTTAGATGTGTGTGCAGTGATTTTTAATACTTATTCGCTCAGTATTGATTCCTATGACTCGCTTTTCTGCATCAAAATCTACTTACCGAGGGCTTTAAATAATTAAGTAAATTCCTTCTTCTTTTCACATTTAATTTATAGCAGCTGATGAGCTAATCTGTAGCTGTTTAGTATAAGAGGCAAGTGTAACCACGACCTTCCTTGATCGGCCTCGGGTTCAGGGCAGTCCGGACTGTCACAAGTCTTCGGTCACTGCTCTTTTGGATTTTTCGATTACATTTCAAGCGACTTGGCTGGACAAGAGGTGGGTAGTTTTGGGTCTGTGATTAAAAAGAAAAAAAATATACTGTGTTTCCTTAGCACTACCAAAAAAAAAAAAAAAAAAAATTGACATCGTCAAGACATGAAATTACACGGCCGGAAATTTGTCTCCCAATAAAGCCATATTCACGGGGGTTCTGCAGCATATAACACCATCTTGTTGGAAACTCATATTGGCCAAGTCGTGTTCTTCATTTGCAGGCCAAAAAAAGAAGTCAATTATCATATCTTTACGACCATAACGCTCCGAATCGACAACGATAGCCTCGCCGTTGTCGTTTTCAAACAAGTAAGGTCCAATCACGCCTTCGGTACAGGGAGCCCATCGGAAAGTGTGCTCTTCAGATATTAGAGGATTTTCGGAGCCGCGGGAACGCGACAGTTTTGCTTATTAACGTAATCGCCGAGGAAGAAATGAACCTCGTCTCTGAAGAGAACTTTGAAAAAAGCGTGCGCCAAATCGGTTATATGTACAACGATGTGAATGGCCAACGAAGTATATTTGTTGGTAAGACATTTAAGTTGGACAGTAGTCAAAATACAGTCTTGTATTTTTTAAACCACGAAATGGATAACCCTGTACATATCCATATAGGTATTAAAAATATTTATTATATCCTTTCGTATGTATATAATGAACGAGTTCTTATATAAAATATAAAAAATTGCAAACGCTTATAATAAATATATAGATTTATTTAATTGGAGCAACCTAAAACATACATTTAAGCACATACATACACATATTACATGTAAATAATATAAATAAATACATGAAGTACATACAAACAATTACCAAAAGAAATCCATACAGTATTCACATGATCAAAAAAAAATCGGATTTAGATAAATAAGAAATTCGCAGAAACACATTTGAAACACACGATACACTTACACCTACATACATACATTTGT